TTGTGGGAGCCTGCCAGGCTTCCCTTGGGTCCTACTGCCCTTGGTTCCTGTCATTTTTTATTAAATATTAATTTTCTAAATTTTTTAGGGGTCCCACGGGCCAGATAGAATGGGCTTGCAGGCTGGATGCAGCCCACAGGCCATATTTTGCCCATCCCTGGTCTAATCAAAGGTCCCGGATTTACCCAAAGAACTTGTCTGTCTATAAGCATCACAGAATTGTTGCAAGGTCTATTACTTGAGGCAAGCTATCAAAGACAGACAACTTTCATTGGGGCAGAAGGAAAAGGCCATCCTTCTAAGTAATATGTAGCACATTTAAGTACTTTTTATGTAGCTTTTAATCATGGCAAGAAAAAAAAGTGGGAGCAAAGGCAAAACCATTTACATAAAAATACAGAGAACTGCAAATCCGTATTCTGACACTGAAATCATACAAAATGATATGCACTAACAATTAAAGCACATTGTATGATAGCTCAAAAGCAGTACAAATGAAAATTTAGAGATGTCAAAAAGTTATAGTTAAAAAACCATCACAAAAGAGAATTTTACCTGCTTGAGATTATCTGGAAGACTGCTTACTGTTGGTTTTGTTGCTGAGCAACTGCTTTTGTAGTGACAAACCAAAACAAAAAAGATTCAGGTTCACAAAGTACTCAGAGAACAAAAGAAACTTTAGCTTTATTACAGTTCATGGAGAGAGGGTCAAAGATAATTTAACACAATCAAAAACTGTTTGGAGCATGACTTGAAAGAATTCCTTGGCAACTGAAAGAACAATTCCAACTAGCGATTGATGAAGAACCCCTTTTAAATCTAAAACAGAGGGTAGTTTCTTTCCTCCAGAAAATTTGGTATGGAGACTACAAACATTCTTCTGTGGCATGATTTGTATTTCTAAACCTAAATAAACTGTGAAATAAAAATAATATGCCCAACTTTTATTTACAGGTGACAACACCGAGTCACTTGTCATGCAAATAAACTATTTACATTCTAAATTCTAAAGAGTATTTCAAGGAGTCTTGACTCTCCTTCCACCATACCATACCTTAGCAGACTTATTTTGACTATTACCATAGGACTGATTAACTGAGTGTTAGAAAATATCTGGATTGCGCTGACCCAGACAAGCTATGAAGACAAGCATATGATTTCCTATTTTTGCCAAGGTGTACAATTTCATTTAATGTATAATATATGAGATTTTGTGGCTTTGTTTTATTCCCCCTCATCTCTACTTTTTCCTTTCTCTAGCCTCAGTTATCACAATGCATCATAGTTTCATAGTTTCATAGAATTAGGGTCGGAAGGGACCTAGTAGATCTTCTAGCCCAACCCCCCGCCAGGGCGGGAGAACAACAAAACCCCAAAACAAGAAACGGGACTCAAATGAGTCCAGCCAGGTAGGCATCCAGCCTCTTCTTAAAGACCCCCAGGGTAGGGGCCAGCACCACTTCCCTTGGAAGTTGGTTCCAGCTCCTAGC